AGCAAGGTCAAGGTGCTCCTGCAAATCGGATTTGGAATTTTAATTGCAGTCTTGTTTCCTTGCGCCCCCTTTTAGGGTTTTGTAAGGTTTTTTCCCAATTTAAAGAATTCTTAAGAACTCCCCCCCCCACCCGCCTCGAGAACCCGCCAAAGTAGATTACAAGATTCCTAATTCCACATCGGCCAGCTCGCACGACTGACAAGCTAAATATCTCGCGATATTCGCGCAATGTGTTTTACCGGTTTGGCCTGAAAAAATACACGATCGGAAACGAAACCCACCGAAACACAATGACCATGGCTCCACTTTACGTCATTATTCGTACGATTGATCGGAATTGTGTCAAATTGGTACAAATTCAACGTACGAAATACGTAGAAAAGTTTCGGTCAATACGATCTTACCTAGAATAAGATCAACGCAGATTTCTACACCGAAGCAGACAAACATCTGCCTGAAATTGCGTAAAGGGATCCAGCAAAAAGTAGCGATTTTCTCCTCATCGTATTCGCTTACACTGCTTCACTTGTGCCACCACAATCCCATTTTTTCCGCTCCTATATACTATAATAAACACAGGATGGAATTAGAGGATCGTAAAGAGCGAGCGAGTAGACAACGGTCTCCGGAAGGAAGGGAGAGCAAAAAGTTGAAAGAAGCATCACCTCCCCGAGCCACTGGTGGGTCGAAATCTCGTCATCGCAATGCGGAAGAACGAGAAGCAAAACAGAGAGCTTCTAGAGGCAGTGGAAGAAGAAGCACCCGACCTGGTGCGGAATCGACTGCACGGCCCAGCGACAGTCAAAGATCACGACGTAATGACGAAGATCGTCGAGCCAAAGATCGAGCAAAGGGCAATCATCAAAGATCGGATGCACCTACTGCCTCTTCTCCTTCTGCACCTCAGGTGGGCGCCTTTAGTGAAACTTCTTCCAAGGATCGTAGCAAGGCGAAAGGACGCCATACCACCAGGGGCGATCGTAATCGAAGATCAGATGCTCCCATGTCTAATTTTGCACCTCAGGTCGTGGCGGGTGCCATTGGCGACACTTCTCTCAAGGATCCTAGCAAGACCAAAGGACGTCCTCATAGCATCAAGGGTGATCGTGATGCCAAGAATCGAGCTAGACGTTCAAGAGACCCTGCTGCAGCAAAACCAGGCGTAGATAGTTTGACTTCTTCACCGCAAAGTCCCCGTTCCAAGGCGGACAGAGCATCCAAGAAATCTCGGCAATATGATGAAAGTGAGAAAAATGCCAAGCGCATATCCAAGAACAAAGAATTTGGGACTCAAGAAGAACAAGTGGATCTACAAGCACCTGTCGCGCAAGGCATCGCTGTGGATGAAGAAGCGGAAGAGAACGAGCGATTCCTGAAACAGGAAGAAGCCAACCAAAGGATGCAACAACAGCTCGAGGAAATGACCCGACAGCAGCAACTAGCTGCTGAGGCTCTAGCACAAAAAGAACGAGAGGCCGAGAGGCAAAAGAAGAAGCGTCGCAGAATTATATGTGCGATCATTGTTTTCTTCGTTCTGGCTGGAGGAGTCGTGGCATACTTCCTGACGCGTCCGTCAGTAGATGCAACGCCTTTGTTGGTTGCACCGGAGGATCTAGAGGGTACCATTTCCAGCGCCCCATCGACGAATCCTACGTCTTCGCCTACCCAAGCTCTCTTGTATGATCCACCGTCCGAAAGAGATTGCGTGGCCATGAAAAATGGCCAACCAGTGGCCAATCAGGACGAATTGACAGCATTTACTTTTGAAATCACCATAG